TCATTCCAGTGGGCGGATGCATTTGAATTAAATTCAAATCCGTATGAAAGGCATTTTACTCTGTATGTCTGGCTTTTATTATACTCGTCAAACATATTTACTTGGTACTCACTTGAAGATAGCTCTTGGATCATTATCCCTTCAGTGTCTGGAGGACTTACATGTGTCAGTCACGATCTTTATTAGGTGTCAAACACAAAAATCCCTCAAATGTTCAGTAGAAGAATAGAAACCTTTTTGATACAACCAAAAAAGAATTTGTTACACCTTAAATACTTGTGTAAAAAAGAAAAATATCTAAGCAAGTTATCTGCTGTATTGACTTTCCAGGACTCTGTATGTGTAAATAGAGCCTACTTATTAGTGAGCTGCAACTAACATTAATAAGAACCTGTCGTATCACAGTTTGACAAGTGAGGCTTCCTATTAATAATCTTGGTTTATATTGAACGTATGTATTTTTCTGAAGTAACTAGCACTGAGAAATGAAAACACTGGATTAATTTGTTGAGACACTGGAAACTGAGGTTTAGATTTCCTTTTTATTTTAAAAATAGAGGGTTTGTATTTGAAGAAAGATTTGGGGTTAAGAAGTATGGGGTGCTTTAAATGGGCAGTTGTTTGCACATTGTGCCCCTCTCACCTTCTTGTTTCATAAATATAAACCATCAAGGATTCTACAGATCTTCCTCAGTTGTCTTGAGATGGTGTAACTGCTGAAGTTTTACTGTTAAATCAAATGTTATCAAATGTTTAGCTATTATCTGTTATGTTTTCCTTACAGACATTAGTCTTTGTAATAACTCTTTGGTGCTACTGAATATGGGCTTAAGTGATACAGAATTGTCGTGTGTACCATGTAAGGCACCAATTACATCAACAGTTATTACTAGTGCCCAAGTATTTCAGACAGCAGTGTTGAAATGTTAGGGATTAAGAAATCTTTTTTTTAAAAGCTTCAAATAAGTTTGTTTATTTTTTATTGGGCTTTTGTGTGTTGGGGTCCCCCCCACCCCCAGACAGTTGCTCTACAGAGTGGCAAATATTACACAAAAGGGGTAGTTTTAAGTTACATCTTTTTTTCAGCTGTGGAACTTTCTCTTGGGTTTTGTTGGTTTTTTTTTTTTTGGGGGGGGGGGGGGAGGGGGAGGGAGGGGATGGTTGAGGGTTTGTTTTTTTTTTTGTTTTGTTTTCCTGGAATGTTAAAAATAGTTCTAATGGAATATGGGGAAAAGGTGGATGACAACAAACATAATGACAGGTTTGGTTGCTTCAATGCTATTGCAATATAGTTACTACAGATTACATAAAAACGGTTTATTTTACTAGCTTCCAAATAATGTATATATAGATTTGTTAATGGCTTACAAGTCAAGCTTACTCTCTTTGCTTTTTAAAAAATAGATATAGGCATGTTGTATTTGCCTTGTGTAAATTATAAAAGGCTATTTATTAAGTTTTCTGATAACTAATCTATTTATTAACCTGTATTGTTTTAAAATAAATGATTTATTTCTAGCTCAATGCTTGTTTTGTGACTCCTCTTTATCACATGACAGGGAGGGGGAAATCAGTTTCCCACACATCTAGCTACTGTACAGCCTAATCCCAATTCATAAACACAAACTATTTCCCTTACACTTTTTACAAAATAGCAGCCTTGCTTTTGGGCGCAGAGCAGTTACCACCCGAAGGGCTCGGTTGTCATATAGTGGTGCCTCCTGGCAAGCTGTAGTCTTACTGTCTTCATTGTACTGAAGTTTGCTCGCAGGTAAAATGAACGCTTCTCTGTCAGAAAAGTTTGTTGGAGCCTGCATCACTTCAAACTGTGTCTTAAGGGTTATCACATACTCTGTTCATGCATTGCTGTACACTGGCTACTTGCTAGGGCTTTTATTTCAAGATCTCCACAGTTGGGTGTGCATCGAGTGGCAGCAGCTGTAAGGAAGTCTTGTGTCATCAGACTAATTTACTGTCACAAGAGCTTCCTGCAGAAGGAATTGCTTGGAAAATTACAGTGGCTGCCCATCTAACCCTTCATCTGAAATTCCTAGCTCCTCTCGTCAGGTACTGGCAAATACATGACTTTCAGGCATGGGTTGGAGGTTGGTTTGGCTTTTTTTTTTTTTTAATGGGATTTATGATAACTGTTTCAGTCTTTGTGCTCGTGTTTTAGGGAATGCATCGGTATCACTGCTGGTCAAAATCGAAAGTTATTTTTAAACAAGGAAATTAGCTCTGATACAATATAAAATGTTGTATGCAGTGGGAAAGATTGGCATCGATTCTTTACTGGATGTGTCACTGCAATTTGATTTTTAAAGGTGTTGGTGATTTTAATACAACATACAAAAATAGACCAGAAAACTAGAGAGGCTTTCCCTTTTACATACAGCATCTCCAATTTTTAAATAAATAGGATAAGGAACATGTATTTTGAGAACAGATTTTTAGCAGGAAAATTCAACTCTGTGTTTTCTTCTTGTGCATCTCTGTACTTAGGCCTCCAAGGCAGCGTTGTGGAAGAGGCAATTGCGCCCTTTACTCCACTGTTACTGTTGAAAGCTTGGGACATAACCAACCCTGAGCACATGTATCTCAACAACAGAGTTCGTATGGGAAGAGTGTTGAAGACCAAAACCTGATAGTGCCAAAAGAAAGAGGAAAAAAAAAAAAAAAAAAGCCCCACTGATTTTTCTGAGGTTTATTGGAAGAGCTTAAGTCTTAAACAGAGTATCGTAAGTGCCTTGTGTGTGACAGTGCGACTGTTGTACGAGTAGACTCACAGACGGGGGTTCTTTGTTCTGCTCAGCTGTTTTTGTGAAAAGCAGCGGGGACGTGGCCTCCAGAGACCCTGTTAGAGCTGCCCGATTCCCTAACGGATTCTTCGGCCGGGTACAGACCTCACTGTGGGTCCACCCCAGACCATCCCTGGTGTGGGATGCCTTAAATCCCCGCCAGCTGGCACCGTTCCGCCCGGGGCCCGCGTACCAGCGGGCACGGGTGGGAATGCCTGCCACGGGGAGTTGGTCGGTGTGCTGCGTGAGCCGGGCTGTCCTACCCGGTAACACTTCCCGAGGTTGTACGGGTGGTATCTTTCCTCTTTGTCCTTTTACACCTTACGGGATGCTTAGGCACGTGGTGGAGATTGAGCCCTGAAACCCCCTGTCCCGTAGCCTTGCAAAAGGAGCTACGCTCGCTGACCTCTTGCGAAATTCACTGAGCGCAAAGATAGTTCCGCTGCGGGAGAGGGCCAGGATGGTCAGGTCACCACCTTTCTGATACTTGGGAGTTCTTTCCAGAGACTCGGCAAACATGCCTGAAATACCGTGCTGTTGTAAATTACTCAGAGATGCTTGGGGTATTTTCTGTTACTGAGCACAACTCCTGGCTTTGAAGTAAAGATTTAATCGTTTCTGGTGAATTGGGAGCACTTCAAAAAATTCAACTTTTGTGTGAACAGGTGACAGTCTGTGAAGCAGAACTACCAGTTGAAGAAACGTGAGGAAGAGGATTAACAGATAACAACTGAAGTCCCATTGAGAGTCTGTAATGCTCAAATTAGTCCAGTTAGTATTTTCAGGTGTTTATCCCCTTCATTATTGCTTTAGGTCAGTTGAGAGGTGGTTTTGAAGGGAGGAGAAGACTAAATTCACTTGTTTCAGATGTGGTTACTGCTTAACTCAGGAATATGTATGTGTTTCCAGTATTTGGCACGGTCACAAGCATGTTAATTTCTTTAGCTCCTTTAAACTTTGAACAGTTTTATGTATCCGTGCTTAGATGCTTCTGTTTATACTGTACTGGTTTAGGTGGTAGAGGTGTTAATTTTTTTTTTAATTCATTTGAGGAACCCTTTTTACTACCTGTTGAACTTTTTCAAAGACTTCCCAGTTTTGGTATCTTGTAAAACACAGAAAAAATAGCTTTCTGTTGTGTAATTATGTAGGTAATAATTCCATATGGCTTAGTGGGTTTTATATATTAAAAATATATTTTTATACACACACGCACACATATATATATTTATGTAAAACTACTTCACAAGTGCAAAGTTCATGTCACGGATACTAGAGTAGTTTTAAACTGGGGAATGGAATGCTGACTTAGAGAATAAAATAGGCCTAAAATTTATCCATTTGCTTAGAGTGGTGTAGCAATTTTATTTTTGTGATGGAGCAAGGGACCATTTTTAACGAGCACAGCAGGTGACGTGATGAGGAATAGCTTTGTCACGGGTGAGGGAAAGCCAAGCTCGCTTCTCCGGTTTTATTTCCAGGTTTAGCAAAACCGAAGCAGCTGCTGGTGCAGACTGATAATGTCAACACAGATCCCGAGGCAAGAAGAGGCAGGAACTGTTGTCACTATGGGACGCGATGAAACGGCCTCTCGTCCTGCTTGACCGGACGGGGTTGGATCTTCCACGTGGAGCTGTCACCGGTTTTGTGGCAGCGTTGCTCATCTAGACCGAGCGGCTGCGTGAACGGTTCGGAAGAAACTGAAGAGCGCTTCGAGGCTGAAGCTTGTTACTTCAGATTATTTCAAAGACTCTTCGCTATAAGCTGAGGAGAAACATTTGTCCAACCCTATGTATCGATTCTACTTTATGTGAGATCAAAGCATTTTTGGTTGCGAAGCATGCAGCAAGAGCATGGGACCTCCGTTAAACTGAGAAACAAACCATGCCCTTTACCCAACCCCGTAAAACGCCTCTTTGCCTCATGGCAGAGGGGTTGCAGGGTTTTCCTGCGAGAGGGTGAGGAGGGGGGCGAGGTGGGCTGCGGCTGGCGAGCCGCGGGAAGGGGCGCGGCACCGGCTGCGAGGCGCCGCCCGCCGCGGGGCAGGGCCCAGGCCGCAGCCTCGCTCGCCGTGCCGGAGGGGCGGCGGCGGGCCGCTAGGGGGCGCTAACACGCACGCACGCACGCACGCACGCACGGGCGGGGGCCCACGCCGAGGATCACGTGACGCGGGGCGGGCCGCGCCGCTTCCGGCGGGCGCTGCCGGGATCAGCGGGCCGGGGGTGGCCGGGCCCGGGACGCCGCCCCGCCCCGCCCTCGCCTTCCCTCGCTGTCGCCCGCCGCCCGCCCCTCCTTCCCCCCCCCCCCCCCCCCATCCCTCCCCTCATGGCGGCGGAGCGCGCGGGCACCGGCCCCTCCCGCCGCCCGCTCCGGCCTCCCCCTCCCCTTTCGCTGGCGGCGGCGGGGCCGTGAGGGGCGGTGACCGCAGGTAAGCGGGAAGAAGGCGGCGGTGGTGTGGGTGTGGGTGTGGGGAAGCCCCGGCTGTTGGCGGGCGGGCCTGGCCGGAGCGAGGGCCCCGCCGCCGGGGAGGGGCCCTGCCCGCGGGCCCGGGCTCCCCCTCGCCCCCGGCGGTCCCGGGTGCTGCCGCCTTCCCCGCGCAGGGCCCGCGGCGGCCGGCGCTGCCGGTGAGGAGCTGAGTCGGGCCGGGGCTCCTCCCGGCGGGTGGAAGTCCCCGGAGACCGGCGCCGTGTTGGTTTCTCCGTGGCGGGGAGCTTGCTGCGGTTTAGCTTGCGTGGGGCCGAGATTAAAAACAGAACTCGGGGGTGTTTGTTAGGGCTCCCGAGCTGGGCAGGGGTGGCAGGCGGCGATCTGCGGGTTCTACCGGAGCTCTCGTACCCCCTGCTGGAGCGTGCGTGCGGCTCACCGGGGAGCTAAACCGGTTTGTCTTCGGTTTGGTTCGGGGTTGAGCTCAGCTGAGGTTGAGGGTGGCGCGGCTTCGTTCCGGATCTACTTCGGCAGAACTTCAGAGCCCTGGCAGGGCTTTAGTCTGAGGTGGAAAAAAGCAATTTTAGCTTTGCGCCGTAGTTCACGGTGATGATTTGTGTTCGTTCTCAGACTGTGAAGATACAGACTGGGTCTGGCTCTTTTTAGTTCCTGATTTTTTTTTTCTGATCTTCCCTTTCTCAACCAGTCAACTTTCTCCATTTTCCAGCAATATCTTTCATATTATTTTTAATTAAAACCTAACAAATGTAAGTTGTCATGGCTATTTCTGAATGCTTTTGATATTTCTGAATGCTTTTGATGTGTACCTCATTGTATACACAGTTAGGTGTTTTCCCCCCGAAAGGTAATAAGTTCGTTGATAGGAAATTATTGTGTAAGTTTTAGTCAGAATCATTGCATTCAGAGTTCAGTGTCTCGCTAGTTCTGCTTTTGTTAAAGTTATTAATTCTCAGGATAAAATCCTGGCAAATAGAAAGGAGGTTATAACAGATTATCAGTTATGTCAAAGGAAAAGCAGTGACTAATGTCTAGATTCAACTTTAACTTACTGAGTTGTCTTAAATTTGAAATTGTGTGTTTTAAATACTAGAGTTAGAACTTCGGTGAACCTGTGCTGGTGACTCAGCCTGCTGAGAGCGGAGCTAGTGTACTGGGTACAGCAGGGATGAAGCAAATCATGCAATCTACTCTTATCTTGAGTCTGTTTTGATAGACTCCTAGGAAATCCAGTCAGCGCAGTGTCAGCTATAAAGCACTGGCAGTAGTTTGCGCTTAGTTAATGAATAGCACTCTGTTTTAGTGAAGATGTGTATTAGTTTTATGTGCAAATGCTTTAATTGAAGGTCACTCTTTTTAATGGAAGATAATAACTACAGGTGGCAAATGCAAAGAATAAGATGTACAAAAATTTTTAGTGTGGCATTTTTCTTGTGTTCTCCCATTTTCTTAAAAGGGGATGCACGTCGCTTTTGCATTATTAATAGAAATCTGCTATAAAGGATAAGTTTCACCACAGTTTAACTGAAACTTTTCTAATAGGCAGCTTTAGAACTGTTAACGTGTGTTTTGCTCTCTGAGTACTTGTGCTGGTGCCTCGAACGTTATATTATATATATGCTTATATATAATATCTTTATAAACAAATTAAGTTGTTTGGTTGTTTTTTTTTTTTTTACCTTGCCTATGTAAAATGTAAGTAATTATAAGTTTTCCCACTCGTTTAACTTTGACAAAGCTGGAAAACTACACTGTATTTGGGCAGACTTACAGTGCAAAACTGAAGGTACTCTTTCCTAACTAAAGCACACGGAACCTTTGGGTGCTGTATGCATGTGTCTTGGCCTTCTAAACGTGCCTGTGGCTAAGTTTTGAACCAGCAGCTCTTTTACCTTATCTGTCCTTTCAGTGTTCTCTCTATGCCTGTGTTTAAAAGATATGTACACGACTGGACAGAACATAACTGAGGAAAAAGACTTGGATTAAAGGGTTGGCTATATTTTGGGGATTTTAGTAACTTTACTGAGAATATTTCTGTGTTCATAGTCACTGCCCTCCTGGAGTTCTGTATAGAAACATCCTCTAGAAGCTCACTGTAGCGAAGCCAGTAATTAAAACTTTATATTAGTTTTTGTAATAAAAGTGCCTTAGCACTTAAGTTACAGAACAAAACTGAAAGGACTTGGATAGTATTTCAGTTCAACTTTAGCGTGCCACCTTTTGAGGAGCAGTTTAGCTCACAGGTCAGTCTCTTTGATAAATGAAGTGAAATGCAGAGGGTTGAAATAACTGTAATACTTCAGGTGAGACATACCTAAGGAAGATCAAATTTGAAATCACACTGCTTTGTTATCCAAGTGTGTTTTAAAACAAAAGTCTTCTCCCTTTTTAAAGCATAGGTGAGAGAATGTACAGTTTCGTGTGTCATGCTTGAAAATGAGATGAACTTGAAATGATGGACATACTTTTTTTAGCTGGATTTTAAAAATGCCAATTAATATTCTTTTTAACTTATATTTTAGAGACCTAACATTGAGATATTTAAGAAGTGAATACCTCTGGATTTTGCAGCAAAATTGGTATGTATAACAAGCCTTCGAAAGGCTCATCACTGAACACTTGGGTTGTTGTTGTTGTTAGGGATTGTTTCTGTTTCCTGTGGCTTTATGCCTGTGGAGAGGAAGAAGGGAATGCCTAATAGTCAATGTGACACGTAATAGTGTGTATTTGATAAAAGCATCTTGATTCGACCCCTTTTCTTCCATGAAAAGCTTGATGGCTAGGGGCATTAAATGGGTGCTGTTTCAATGTTAGAAACAGGAAAATTCTCATGCAGCTCTTATAAATAAGCAGAATTGAAAATAAAATACCACGGAACAGTTCAAAAGGTGCTGAGTGGCTCTACCTGGAGTAACTATTACTAGTGTCTTATCAAAACAGACCTTTGTTTAAAAATTCTTCTGTGTGAGTAATGTCTGAGTCTCGTTTAGTATCGGTGATCTGGCTGAAAGGACAAAGAAATAATGGCGCTGAGCGGGGAAGGGTCGCCAGTGTGTAAACTCAGATGAATATTTTCAGGAAACATTTTGGGGGAAAAAAAAAAAAAAATGCTTTTCATAGGAGTAAATGAAAGTTATTACACCCAGGCAGGAATAATTTTCTATACAAAAGCATTTTAGAGGAACAGTAGTTCCATAGGAAAGAATTCAGAGGTTATACTAAGAGAGAAGTTGAAGAATCAACAGTAGATGGTTGGTCGGGAAGGGCAAAGAAAACCACCCGTTTTGGGTTGTATGAAAAGAAGTATCGTCTCCTACTGTGTTGCAGAAGCAATAACAACTCCTCTAAAATACTGTATGTGGCTTTGGGAGTTGCACTTTGTGAAAAAAAATCGGTGGGCTGTTGGGAAAGGACCCAGAGGGTGGCAGAGCAGGAGGTGCCAAGCACCTGACGTGCAGAATAACGTTAAGATGTGGGTGCAAAGATGAAGGGAGTTGTGTCTTTTACAAGTTCAGAGTGGACAGACATGAGGAGCTTCGGTGGTCGAAGGGAAGGTCATTGTATGCTGAGAGTTTCTAACAGCGTCAAAGCGCGTCTGGGGTGTTGGTGAGGTTTCCTTCGGAGCTATTCCCTGGGAGAAGCTTGGCTGAATTATCTCTAGGGAGGAGCAGCCGTGAATGATGCTGCACGTGACAAAGGATTGAAGTAAGGGGCCTGTTAAAGTCCTTTTTAGCTTAGTGACATCACCTTTTTCACGGTTAAGAAGATCAGTTTTTAGACAAGAAAATCGTGAATTCTAGCATTTAAATCTTTTGGCATATATTTAGATTACTTCTAGGAGAAAAGGCTGTCTGTTGAACTCTTGAGGACTGGTGACCAAGTCGGCAAAGTTGGAACAATCCACCGTATTTACTTTTACTGACTGTAATTATTTCTCCCCTACAAGGTACAACTTGTGGAAGCGATAACTAATTTCCTTTGGCTGATAACTTCCTCACAGTTACGCTTCTCTGCTTTTAAACATAAAATAATATTTCATCTCATTGTCGTGGTTTAGGCCTGATTGGCAGCCAACCACAATGCAGCACCTCTCTCTCCCTTCCCCTCCGGCAATGAGAAGGGACAGAGAGCCAGGCTTGGGGTTCAAGATAGGACTGGGATGGGGAAAAATCCCCCTTTTATGATCACGAGCAAAAGGCAGACTCAGGGGAACTAAAAAAAAGAACATACATTTATTACAGACACTAACAACATGTAACAGAGTAGGACAGTGAGAAGCATTGCCACATCTTGAGAACACCTTCCCCCCACCCCTCCCTTCTTCCCCGGGCTCAGCTCTGCTCCCGATATCTCTACCTCCTCCCCCAGTGGCGCAGGGGCAGGGAATGGGGGGTGCAGGCAGTGCTGCCACTTCCTTCATGTTCGGTGAGGGGAGTGTCCAAAACTTGTTACCCCCTGCTCCATCGTGGTCCCCCTCTCACAGCAGACAGTCCTCCACAAACTTTCTCCGACTTGAGTCCCTCCCACGGGCCGCAGTGTTCCCCACACTGCTCCGTCATGGGTCACCAACTTCCTCCGACTGGATTCCCTCCCACGGCTGCAGCCCTTCCCGAGCTGCTCCGGCGTGGGACTCCCCCGCATGCTGCAATCCTCCCAGCACTGAATTACAGCAGCGGGGCTGCCTTTTCCCATGAGACCCCGGCCTTCTTCGGGCACAGAACCTTGATTATACCAAGCAGAAGCCACAGGCCATAAATCAATGTCTGCTCCACCGTAGATCTCCATGGGTGGCAGGGGGGGGCCGCCCTGCCGTCTCCCCACAGGATACAGGAGGGTCTCTGCTCCGGCACACCTCCCCCCTCCTTTCTTCCTCCGTTCCTCCACTGACCTTGGTGTTCACGCAGCTGCAGCAACTCCTCCTCACAAGTCCCACTGCCCGTCACCACGTCCCTTCTTAAATACGTTATCGCAGAGGCGCAGCCGATTGGCTCAATTTCCCAAACAGAAGTGGAGCTGACGTGGAGCTGGGGGAGCTTCGAGAAGCTTCTCACAGGGGGCCGCCCCGATAGCCCCCTGCCCTGCCACCAAAAAACCCCACCACTCACTCAACCCAGGGCACTCATGACACCAGTTTTAGTGGTTTTGAATATTTAAAGACCTTATTTGTTGCGATAAATATGTAACATCTTTTGAGCGCAGGGCATGTGCTGCTTCGGGGAGAAAAGGACTTTTGAGCAATGATGCAAAGAAGTGTTTCCTTGTGTGTGAGACCAGAGAGACTGTATCTTGTCAGCAGTCGTGACCCTTCTTGGTTCTATCTTAGAAATAGGCGAACAGACTTCGTGGCTAATCCGGACTTGCTTATGTCCTGCAGTTTTTTTCAGGAAGCTTTTTCTCTGTCTCTCACTATCTGATCATCTTTGAACCCTGTATACGTTCCCTGTGGTGTTGGTCGTGGTGCTGCCGCGCGCTGAGGGTTATGACTCACGGCACCAGAAGATTCGCAGGCGGTTCGTAAGCGGGTGGCACTTGGAGGCACCGTGACTGTTGTAGCTCCTGTGGATGGGAAAGTCTCGTCCCCCCTCACTACATCTCTGAAATCAGAGCAGCAAACTAGTCATCCTCCACGAAACTCCTGGTCTTGGGTGGGTGAAATATCCTCCGAGTTAAAATCAGCTGTGAGCTTGATGAAGGAACCTTTGCAGGCTGAGGGCAAATACACCTAGAACCCCTGCCAGCTTTAACACCTACATTTTCTGGCCTCTCTCCTGTTTATAACTTAACAGTGGCTCTCGCTGCTGGAATGGGACAACTTTGGCATGTCCCGACGCTGAAACATGAGAGGAGTGTTTAGTCCAGAAACTGTTAATTTCATGACGTTTTCTTCTTTCCAAATACAAGAATTTTTCTGGATGATACTTATGAGGACATACTAGTTTTTCTTAACTTTACGAAGGGTTAAACTACTGATTTCCTGAAGTGTAAAAGTTTCTGTGCCTCCCGTTGCTTTGATTTTGCAGCTATACGTGTCAGTTCTACACGTGCAAATCACATCTGCCTTGTATGCAAAGGGAACCAAATCTCTTCAGGGAGAAGTTGGATTCACCGTGGCTGGGCGGCAGAAATGGTCGGCAAATGTAGACATCTCTGCAAACCTGAGGTGGAAGTGTGCAGTCCAGCCCAAGCAGAAAAGGGACTGGCCATGCCTGTGAGCACAGATAAACTTAGCAAGAAGAGCTAACGGTTTTTTATGCAAATAAGTGGTTAAGATTTGAGTTGTTTACAAGATTAACAAAGTGGTGGACAGGGAATCAAAAATTCTGGAATGTATTTGGGATGTGGGGGAGAGTAGAGCTAGTAGGTTTGAAGTGTAGCATCCTTAGGGTGTTTTTAAGTATAAATTCAGAGAATTGCCTGTTAGCTTGCAAGTTCTCCTCATTCTTCTGCAATCAAATTCTTCCTCGGTTCTGAAGAAAAGCAGCCTGTGCTTCTTCCCTTGTCTCTGAAATGCAGTGGGTGGAAGGTGTCAGGAAAGGACCAACTGACGTTCTTTACCTCTCTCAGAAACGTTTTCATGTAGATGAAGCTACGCAAGCCAGGGAGGCTAAAAAAAGTGGTTTTGCCAGTGTGGCGAGTTCTGTTTTAGTAAAAATACTCCCATTAGTACTATAACTGCAGTAGCAACTGTTGAAAACTCTGGTAGAGAAGAAAAGCTCAAGAAAAGCAGCCCCCCTCCCCCAGGCGATGCTGTTCTAGTATCGCATTCTGTACCAGCGGGAGCTGAAGAAAACTCTTAGCTTGGTCACCTGAGCAGTGTGATTTGTGGCTGCTGGAAAAGGTGGTAGAGTGAACAGGCGCAGAAGTCTCCTGATGTCTTTTCCTTGCCTCAAAAAAAATGTCTTTATTCTTCAGGGACTGAAAGTCTTGCCCTGAATTCCAAACCAGAGCGATATTTGATGCAGTTAGTGAGGTGGCTTGTTCTGGTCTGTCTCCCACGCCGATTTGTCTTGATAGGTGATTTGTATCATGCAAGATTTTACTTCAGTTTATTTTTAAAAGCGTCCAGAAAAGGAAAGCAGACCTTTGCAGTTCATTTACTTATTTTTTTTTTTTTGCTACAAAATAAGATATTAAAAATTACTTTGCAAGGAATAAGGGAAGAGGATTTGAGAATTTTGAACTGTGGATCTTGCAGCATTTGGAATGGCGGTGTGTTGGGTGCTTATTAAATGGGACTGTGTTTCTGTACTTTTTCACAGCCTAACTGGATGCATGTGAGAGGATCTGTGTTCAGTTTTAACGATAACCCACCTGTGGTGCTCTGCTAGGTTTTTGCTAGGCACGTAGCAAATTAATCAAAGTCAGAAGCAAGAAGGTACGGGCAAAGGTAGTAGTGGAAGAAAATGGGTGGGGGAATCGGGACTGTGAACTGGCGTGGCAGATTGGAAAGTGGTTTTTATCTAGTCCTGGACTCCCAGTGGGTGCGTCCATCACTGCCCAGGCAGGAGAGAGGGTCCTTGATCGTGCAGCACCTTACCACCAGCATTGTATTCCTGCTAGGGGGGAAGCTGCTGCTGCTCTTAGCTCGGCATTAAAGCTGTGGAATTCAGATTCAAGCACTGAAATGGCAACATTTTATTCCATTGCCTTCTTCCCTCCCTTTTACTTTTAAATCAAAAGCTTGTTAATGTGACTTAAGGTCATATGCCATGCCTCTGAGTATCTGGAAAACAATTGCGTAGGGAGCTAAATGCTAGTCTTGGTACATTTGTGATTGGTGTTCCCAGGAAATAAAAATTGTTTTATTTACGGGTGTTTTCTTCCTGTAGAACAGTTCTCTATACTGCCATAATCATCACTTGCCTTGAAATCAAAGCCTAAAAATAGTTTTCATTTCCCTTTATACGACAGAGAGGTTAATCGACTAAATTTGGAGTCTCAGCAGGCTAGGTGAAAGCTTTTAAACTGCAAACTCTCCATAGTTACTGTAGCTAAGCTGAAAAGATGCTTCATACAGGTATGGGAGACTGTGTAAACCATATCAACAGAGGCCTTATTTCCTGTTCCAGATTTGCCTGTTCGTTGGAGGATGAGTGCGTGTGCATACGTCTTGGGCTCGTTTGTGTTGGGGAAATTGCTGTATGATTAACCACCCATTCTAATCTTGTCTTCCGTTTGTCTAGTGAGTTTATATGGAAGACATGCTGTGGCTGTTCTCAAACTCTCTTACAAGCTGATTTCAATGTAAGTAATTGTTCGATCGGTACCATCGGTTACATGCCGTGCCAGACATACAGATCTGTGTACTTCATGAAAAGAAAAAGAAATCCTTTAAGTTTTCCTTAACTTTTTTTTCAAAGAACTTTTATTTGTTTGTGTTTCAGTTTCACATGCCAGCTCAGAAGCCGCCCTTCCTTCTGCGTGTTCAGACTTGTTAGTCACCCATCCGTGGTGCAAGCTTACACACGCTTCAAAGATTGCCTTTTTGTTTTCTTCACACTCACAGCAGGGACTATTCGCAGGCGATCAGCCACATGAGCTGTTGAGAGTTTTCCTCCTTCCTACAGTATGCCTTTCTACCCATTTAATTCTGCTGTGTTTATTTTGCTCAGGTTTCCGTGTTGCATCATCTTGCGTTGAGCAACAGAAGTTCTGCTGTTCGTTGATCAATGTGACAGTCTTTAGTAGTTTACGAGATGAGCCAAACTCGTGGGAGATATGACTTCTGTATTGGTCTGGTGCTGGCTATGAGTTCCAGCATTTTCATCGGAGGAAGCTTCATCCTGAAAAAGAAAGGTCTTCTCCGGTTAGCTCGGAAAGGCTCCATGAGAGCAGGTGAATACATGTCAGATACACCTAACTGCGGATTAAATACGTCGTATTTAATTAGCATGTAGTGCCTTCCAGGGACACGTGTTGATTCCTTTACACGACAGTTAAATCTGAATCGTACTTGCAAATTGAACTTGGAATCAACTCCATCTGTGCTCCTGGATGAGTGGATTCGGGCGAAGGTTAACTGCATTTGTGTCAGGAGATGGTTTGGGAAAAATCAGAATCACGTGTGATGATCCCCTGTAACAAATAGTGTTCCTCAAAGGCTCCTGCTGGAACCAGTACTGTTAAATACCTTCCGCGGTGACACAGTGGGGTCAAGCGCGCCCGCGGCACGTTTGCTGCTGGCACCGAGCTCAGCGCTGCAGGGGGCTCACTGGAGGGAAGGGCTGTGTCCCAGAGGAGCCTTGGCAGGCCGGAGAGGTGGGCTCCTGCAAACCTCACGAGGTTCAGCAAGGCCGAGGGCAAGGTTCGGGGCACCCCCGGGTATCGACACAGGCTGGGGGGGGGGGGGGGATTAATGGGTTTGAGAGCAGCCCTGCGGGGAGTGGACCTGGGGGGTAGGGGTGATTGAAAAATCAGGCACGAGCTGGCAGTGTGAGCTCGCAGCCCAGAAGGCCAACCGTGTCCTGGGCTGCACCAAGAGAAGTGTGGGCGGCAGGGCCAGGGAGGGGGTCCCACCTTTCTGCTCTGCTCTGGGGAGACACACCCCCCCCCCCACCCTGCCCCTGCAGCGCCGGGCCTGGCTTTGGGGCCTCCAGCCCAAGAAACACACAGACCTGTTGGAGCAGGTCTGGAGGAGGCCACAGAGATGGTCCTGGGGTTGGAACACCCCCCCTGGGAGGCCAGGCTGAGAGAGTTGAGCTGGGGGGGAGGCGGGGTTCAGCCTGGGGAAGAGAAGGCTCCAGGGAGACCTTCGAGCAGCCTTTAAATATTTAGAGGAGACTTAAAGATGGAGAAGGACTTTTTACCAGGACAAGGGACGACGGTTTTAAACTGAAAGAGGGTAGATTTAGGTAGATAGAACGGTTCCAGCATCCTCAGGTGTTTCCGAGGGTTGAGTCTGAATATTTTTAATTCAGTACCTGTCATCACTGGCTCTAAAAGATGGTTGATCTCGAGAGAAGTAATCCATCCTCCCTGGTTTGTACCTGCAAGCAGCTGCATAAGCCACACGTGATTCCCCCAAAGTAGCATTCTCCTAAGGGAGACAAAACTTGGCTTTTCGTGTCATTGCAGTGAGTTGAAAGAACTGTTTTGCAGGGTAATGCAGATGCGGTGCCATTTCTAATACAAAAGGAATAAAAGAACTAGTTTTCAAGGTAGGCTGGAGGAGGCATACGCGCATCAGAAGTCTCAAGATTTTATTTCAACCCCTCTTAACCATAAAACCTAAGTATCAAAAGGTTGCCCATGTTTTTAAGGGCGTGGGCTGTAAAAATCATTTTGGTGACGTTGTTGGTGACAGGGCTTGCTGTTTGTCAACGTATTTTGTTTTTTGTTTTTTTTTTTTTTTAATGGACCAGCGAACATTTTGTTCACTTTTAGGTCAAGGTGGTCATGCATACCTTAAGGAGTGGCTGTGGTGGGCTGGACTGCTTTCAAGTAAGTATCAGAAATACGAGCTGCTTTTATATAATGGCACTAAGTGACTGTGCCACAAGAAACGAGCAAGATGGGGATTCTGCAAGGAGGGGTAACGCTCTCTGGTGATGGGAGGGGTACGGCTTTGAGGATTTTAATGGAACGTCTCTCACACCAGAAGCTCTTCCATTAACTTAATTTATTTTCCTCTTTGGGCAGTGGAACTAGGTAAACTTTGGACTTCCTCTGTCTCTTCACTAGCATGTGCAGTCTGGTTTTTGTCTCAGAGAAGTGCTTAGATATACAAGCTGCTTTAGAGGGAAGCGTATTTTGGGATGATATCTATTTTCTGAAATTTTTTTTTTTTTTTTTTTTTTTTCATTGCTTAAACTCTGGACTTCCTGGCTATGTTGAGGTAACTATGGCTTAATTGTGTGCATTGCCCTGTATCTTGCTATTGCAGCTTTCCCCAAGCAGAAGTTCATGACTCAAGTTGCCAGGCTGTGGAGCTACAACATAGACACCAAAATAAACCACCTTCTAGTTTGCCTGAATTAATTTTAATCCCTGTTTTGGTCCCCCGGCCTGTTTTAAGATACACCAATGGGCGGTTTGGGTTCTGCTAGTACTGTTAGCTGAATGCTGTAATTAGAATTTTCTGCTGTTTCCTTACTGCATGTTTGTGTCTACAAGAAGACTTGCACTGATTCACGGGTTTGTTGCGTCAGGCAATGTAACTACCCTTTTTTTATATTACTCTTTCTTACTCTGCAGTGGGAGCTGGCGAAGTAGCTAACTTTGCTGCCTATGCTTTTGCACCAGCTACGTTAGTGACTCCTTTAGGGGCTCTCAGTGTTCTTGTAAGGTAAGAAACACTAAAAAAACAGCAATGTGATTTCCGAGAGAGAAGTGAAATATTTATTTAGAAACGTGTCACTGAATTACGCTGTAACGAACGTGGTTTGTTCTTAACTGCACATAAAGCGTGCTTACCAACCTCGGGAGTAACTTGAAGTTTCTCCAGATGTGAAGTGACTGTGCTCTGAAAGGGTTCTAGCAGTGCATCTGCACCTTGATCTGTGAAAAGCCATCACCTTCTGTATTTCAAAAACGTTGTACGCACCACAGGAGTGTTTTAATTCCTAATGAGAGTTAAGATCTTTGTCTTCTGAAAGTTATTTTCACAAGTACTTCCATACAGTGTTGTGGTGGAGGCAGCGTAAAAAAGGCATTCTGGGGAAAGATGCAAAATATTAACGGGTAGTTCTGTCCATAGCAAGTGTCTGGAGATAGAAACTCACCTGTGCTGCTGTTTTAAGGAAATGCTCTGTTAGTAGGTTCACCATAACTGATTTACAGGCGTTTCATACGTGTTCCTGCTCACCGAAAGCTGCGCACTGTGCATGCTGGTGACCCGTACAGTCAAAGCAACCTGTAAGTTGACGAGCCAAATGAGTGGGATATTACTAATTCCATGTCTGCTGGTGCTTTTTTTTTTTTTTTTTTTCCTTCTCAGTGCCATTCTGTCGTCCTTCTTTTTAAATGAAAAACTTAATCTGCATGGAAAAATAGGGTGTTTGCTAAGTATACTGGGATCAACTGTGATGGTAATTCACGCTCCGCAGGAGGAGGAAGTAGAAACTTTGGATGAAATGTCCCACAAGCTGGGTGACCCAGGTAAGAAAAGCGCGAGCTTGAGCTGTAAGCAGCCCATAATTTCTTTACTAGAGTCTCGTTACCGCCGCTTTCAGGTTTCGGGAAAATAGTCCACGTGTGCTTCATGCTGTCAAAAGGGAAACGGAGACTTGAGTTCTGCGACCGAATTCCCTCGGGAGCTTTGCCTGGTGCCAGTGGACTTGTCTGGCCTTGAGCAAAGTGTCTCGATGTGAAGGGCCGGGGTGACAGCGTAAACAGACGCAGCAGCACCGTTGGCTAAACACACTTGCTGTAATTACAGTTCTGGTTGGAGCCTGTCGGGCTCTAAGCCTCACTTTGAGCTAGCCTTAAACCGAAAAAGCGGGTGCTGTGGGTAAGGGTCTGCTGAGAAGTACAGTCCTGGAGGCTAGCTCCTTCAGCTGAGGCACCCGCAAACTACAGTGTGTGCAAAGGCAAATTCCCTTTTCAACACGAGGAAGTAGCCAGCAGAGAGATTAAAAGCTGAGTTTGAGGAACGAGCCGGTGATTGGGAATCCGCGGCTGAAGGCTGCACACGACCTGCCCGAGTTGCATTCTTTGTCTTAGCTAGCTCACTCTCAAATCCTTCTAACTGGAGGAATAATGAGGAACATCCTGAACTCTTTAGTTTAAGCTGAGCCCATCACATTGTTAAAACGAGCGTTTTCTCGGTACCTCCGAGATGCTTTTGATAGTGTAGATAAATAACAAGATTTTTAAATCATTTTCTCCCCCCCCCCCCCCAGGTTTTGTGGTCTTCGCAACTCTCGTCGTCATCGTGTCTTTAATTCTGATATTTGTGGTGGGACCTCGCCATGGACAGACCAACATCCTCGTGTACATAACAATTTGCTCTGTCATTGGGGCATTATCGGTCTCCTGCGTCAAAGGTTTGGGCATCGCTATAAAGGAACTTTTTGCAGGAAAACCAGTGCTGAAACATCCCTTGTCTTGGGTTCTGCTGCTAAGCCTTATTGTCTGTGTGAGCACGCAGATCAACTATTTAAACAGGGCTCTGGATATATTCAACACCTCGATAGTGACGCCGATATATTACGTCATCTTTACAACATCCGTTTTAACGTGCTCTGCCATCCTTTTCAAGGAGTGGCAGCACATGGCGGCCGATGACATTATCGGCACCTTCAGTGGCTTCCTGACTATCATCGTGGGGATTTTTTTATTGCATGCCTTCAAAGATGTGAACTTCACGCTGGCAAACCTGCCCGTCTCTCTGCGGAAGGACGACAGAGCAGCGAATGGTACTTTGCTGAGCACGTCCGACTGCTTTAACCACGATGAAGAGAGTTCGGCCTGTCTAGGTGAAATACAATCCACCGAGACTCTCTCAGCCAGGAGGAATGGAAGTCTGTCAGCCTTCTGAAAATATCGACGTGTTACTTAAGAAAAGAACAATTCTGTAACTCTGGAATTTTTTTTTTTTTTCTTTTCTGCTGTGAAACGTCTGAGCTTGTCTGGAAAATCATGTACTTTTTAACAGTCTGTGTAGACAATCGTTAATTTTTAAGTTCAAGTAGCTTGGATAAAGAACACTGCAGGGGGGTTTTATTTGCCTTATTTTTACTTTAAAAAATACTAAAATGACCTCAGACCACAGTCGGTTTTGTCGCTTAAGTTATGTGTAAATACTTTGATTTCATTCTTCTAAGATGTATTGCCCTAATGACGATTTTATCAAAAATAAATCGCTTTATTTCTGCATTGGTGGTAAAAAGATGGGAGTGACCTTGGAGCCTTTGTACTTGTGCCCCCCCCCCCCCCCCCCCCCCCCCCCCCCGGCCACCCCGGGACTGCACGGGAACAGGAGCTGCGGTGACTACTCTGGTCCCAGCTTGTCAAAGAGCAAAGGGGCGAGGCTCAGCCTTTGAAAATACAGTTGAACTACAGCTCTATGCTAAACTTGCAGGATTTGCCTCAAAAAAAAAAAAAAAAAAATAAAAAACAAACCCCCCCCAACCTTAGCAAATAGTGGCTGAGCGGCAACAAGGCAGGAGGTTCCGCTCTGCTTGGAGAGGAGAGGCCGCAGCTCCTGCCCTTCCAGTTCGCGGAGGAGAAAGGCTGCGAGTTGTTAATAGCAGCCAAAAAAACCCCCAGAAGCTCCTTTTCTGTAAAAGAGGTCGGGTTGGGGCTGGCTGCTGCAGCACGCTGCTCTGGCTGCTCCCTGGGTTTGGATGTTCCAGCCTGAAGCCGCAGCACCGCGGTTCTGTTTGCAGTGCCAGGCGCTGGCCGGGACCCGTGAGTTCTTTTTTTAAAAAGGGCCCGGAAATTGGAACGTAATGTCAGCGCTTAAAAAAGGGGCGAGACGGGTAGGTGGTGGTTAAAGTTTGCAAAAGCAGAAAATAAAAAAATTAGCAACGCGGTTTTTAGAAGAACATTTCTACTCTAGGACGCCGTTTTTAGAAGAACATTTCTACTCTAGGCGTGAAGGTTAGAAGTTATTTGGGACCGAGATACTGCTCTGAATTGTCAGTTTTAGTGCTTGCTGTTGAAGAGTATAATTTAAGATTATTACTAGGGCAAAACACAGTTCCCACCTGTGACGCTAAGGCTGCTGCCTGCCTTTGGTGCGTCATACGTGCGGGGCTCAGGGGGGGTGAAGGTGTCAAGCAAGAAAAAGGTTCTTTAAATGCTGGTTGAAGAACGGGATTTGAACTTCCAGGGAATTTGGCGGGCGGGGAGGCTGGCAGGGTGCTGTCACTGCCCCGGGGCTCACTGATGCCGCCCCAACGAAGCGCGCGGGTCCGGGGAGCCAAACTGCCGCGGAGGCACCGAACCCTGAGCTGGTGCCTCCAGTGCCAAGGCAGCGGCCCATCCAAAGAGCAGGTTACAGCTGGGGCCAGTGGAGGCTGTCACGTTACGTCGCAATAGGCACTTGGGCCTCCAGACCCACTGGTTTTGGTGAGAAAGAATGAACAATTTTTTAAAAAGTTACGCCTTTTGGGCACCTCGCTGCCTTTTTTTCCTTTTGGGCAGGAGAAGCGGTTGGAGCGGGTAAAGAGGTTTTAGCTTCCTGCAAGTCTAATGATCCTGTTGAAAAAAAAGAGTAACCTACCTTTGGGAAATGGGAAGCAAACATCCCATCGGCTTAACGTCGGAATTCTCCTAAACTCATACTAAAGGGAGAAAATGATGATGAAACGCGTGTTAATGCTAGTAGTTTTCAGAAGTCAGAAGCCAATTCTCTTCTGAAAGTTAACCGGTGAGAATTAGAACTTTACTCACACCGTGAGTAGATATTTTTAAACAGTTCTTAAACAAAAAAAAAAACGGGGCTTGATTAATTAACCATTTCCATAGCACAGTGCCAAGGCCAAGCCTTGGAGATTTCCTTGGAGAGCACCCGGCGAATCTCCAGCCTCTGTTTTGCTGAGGAATCTCAGTTCTTTTCTTTTCTTCCCTCAAAACGCGGCTCCCTGCCAGCCCGGCACCTGCGCGCAGCTCCTCTGCCACGCTCCTCCCTTCCGCCCGTTGCCGGATTCGCTTCACGTTGCTGTGAAACGCCTGAAAAGAGCTGAGCAGGGGGACAGAAGTGCCGTAACCTGCCCTTGAGTCAGCACGAGGGAAGGGAGGAAAACGGGTCCTCCGGGGCACGCGGTCTCGGTCCCACACGTCAACCAGGGAACGGCTCCAGGAATCCGTACCGCGGGGTGAAACGTGTCGGTGATCCATCTGCGCCCGTTCCAGCCATCTCAGCTCCTCGTGGTTCTTGTCGGGTCGATCCTAACGGCCAACCCGAGCAGCCCCGTCAGGACCCTGCCCTAAGCCAGCAAGAGTTACCGCTTTTGGCTCAGCGGGTGGCTTTAAAATTCACCTTTGACAGCTGCAAAGTTTGACCAAGAGTTTTGCTGACGCAGTGTTTGCATAATACATCAAGTGCAATTAAGCAAATGCTTTCCACGAGTAAATCGTGATTAACGTCCTTAGAGCTTCTCTGCTGGGATGGATTCCACCGGAGTCGAGATTCTTGTAAACAAGAATTCCTTATCTCTTGGTAAACACGGATTTTGGAGCACAGCTATGCGTCACCAACCAAAAATCTGAACCGTGTTGGAAGCTCTCCTTAGGAAAAAGTAAACAGTCCCCCCTTCTAATCAGTCGAAGTACTGCCTTTTGGAAAGATCAAAATACCACCGGTCACCTCCGTATTAAACAACTTTGAAACAATCGCCTTAATTAGCCTTCATTTCCGTGATTACTGATCTCGGAGAATGGTTTTACAAAGAGGAGAAATAATCACCTGACTAGAAAAATTATTCACAAAGCACCAGCAGAGTTTGTTGGTTGGGTTTTTTTAATAAAGGCTAATTAAGCAATTAATGCTCTAATACAAACAATCGGGAATTGATTTCTAAATCTTTTTTTTCTTTTTTTTTTTTTTTTTTTTCCCCCCTACAGAACTCGTTTCCTTACCCTCCACAGCTATTATGTTGACAGCTTCGGAGGAAAATGACACCACCTTAGTACAGGAGAATGCAAAGAGATTTCAAAAACCTTTTACATCAAAGTGTATAAAATTTTAGTCTAGAAAAATACGTGTGGATTGTATAGAGTTACTGTGCTTGGAGACTGAAGAGGACAGCGCACCGCTCAGAGGGCACAGGCACACTGAAAAAAGCGGGTAAGAGTGTTCCTCCAGACTGTTGGCGTGGGGTTGGTTTGTTGGGTTTCTTCTCATACTTGTAGCCTACGGAGGTGCAAAAAGTGTTGTGAGGTGGGAGGTCTAGTTGCTGGCAAGGGACTGATGGATAGGCGGCTGGAAGCAGCGCACGTGTTCCACGGGTGTGCTCTCTCCATCGCCGGATTTCAAATACTTGTCCAAAATAGCAATTATTTCATCGTTCAGAATCTGGAACTTGCGAATTCTCTCAACCATTTTCTTCAAAGGCTGCAAACATCAAAAAAAAAAAAAAAAAAACAACAGACACACAGGCATTGGCTTTGGAGATAAAAAGCCTTAAGACACAAAAGCAGCAAATGCTGTTACTCTCCCAGCAACGTTATGGATGTCTCCCTTCCGCTGCTAATGCAGCGAAAATCCAGGGTGCATTTCGGTTTTGGGCAGTGCTGCTTTTTGTACAGAGAAGGGCAATTTACAGCGGCCTTCTCATAACCCCCGTGCACATACCTGAGAGGGAAAGCATTACGAAAACCCCACGTCCTCAGGAAATCAGAATTCTCACTGACCGGTCATCAAAATCCAGCACTAATGCCTTCCACCTTCTGTTCCGAAAAGCCCTGGTGCCTTCCTTTTCAGCATTTCATTCTGAAAAACGATTGCTGCCTCCATTCTGCAGCCGAGTGACAGGCAGCTCTGGTCTAACCCTTCGCTCTGTTACCGCCGCGGGTGCAAACCAGATGTTTTCGACTCACCACGTTCTTTATAACCTCGTCTTTGCCGTCGTGCTTTTGGACCTTCAGCAGGTGGTAGCAGAAATCCAGCACATCGAAGCGACGCTGCTGCCCCAGAAGCACGATGATCATGCAGCCAGCCCAGTGCAGGCCGTCCCCAAAGCACTGCCTGCGACGGGAAACACACCGCGTCAGGCGCCTCTCACCTAAACCTGCCCGCAGGAAACGCTCCGTAACCGGCCGTTACGCTGAATAATTAACACGTCCCACATTAAGCTACAAACTACTGCAAAATCTCCAGCAAATTAAAGTTCTCTTTCCAGGTACCTCGAGCGACGCCAGCAGATGCTTAACCAAAAAACCAGAAGTCGCGTGCGTGCGTCCCCCCCCCTGGTTTTACACGCAGCAGTTACTCTAAAAAACACCGACACCCCCCCCCCCCCCCGGTGTGACTCCAGCAACGTGACATTTAATTTACAAAGGAAACGGCGCTTTCAAAGAAAACAAAGTGGGAATTGGACCCCACGCCGCTCCCCTGGGCTGGGGGCGTGAAACGGAAACCTGTGCTGCTGCCCCCGTGACCGCTCGGTGAGAAGCACCTTGCAGCTCGACAGTTTTTCAAAGTAAAGGGCGTTGTCAAAATTAGCAAACCCACGAACTGCAGTTCCTGCTTTAGCTCGTCTTAACCTCCACGTGCTCCTTCTTGCTCTTAATTCAGAGGAAACGCTCGTTAGAAATAGGTGCCCAAACGTTCAGCTATTTTGTTTGTGTTTTTTTTTTTTTTTGGTTGGTTGGTTTTTTTTTTTACGTTCAGCCCCCGCAGGGGTGTGACTAGCACCGAAAGCCGCGGGCGAGGGCCTGTCGGTCGTGGGCTCGCTCGCCGTACGCGGGGGTTATTTTCATTAAAGACGCGCCGGTATCTGCGTCCGCAGGCCACGAGGCCCCTCCCAGCGACCCGCGGCCCTTCCCCTCGTTCCCCCACTCGGGGCTCGCGGGTGGGAGGACGCGCGGAGCGGTACGTACTCCACGGTGAACTCGTGCGCCCCCACGGGGATGCAGTAGACGAACTGCATCGCGCTCCAGAGGCGGTGGAATTCCACGCACTCGTCCACGTGCATCACCCCGTTGCTGGGCAGGGGCCCGCGCCAGATGGGGTCGTCCAGGAAGGAGCGGATCCGCGTCAGGATAACCTCAAACATGGAGAGGCCGCAGCAGAGCCGCTCTTTGGTCAGCAAGTCCCCTTCCCTGGCGATCGCTATTTGCTAAGGGGGGGGGGAGAGAAAGAAAGTGCAAAATCCTGCTAGAAGCCGCTTGACTGCAAGGCTATTAAAAAAAAAAAACAAAAACCACAACCCCCCCCAATAT